AGCTCCCTAAACAATAATGCCATCGCCATGGCGGACTCACCTGGAGCTGCGCCCCGGCTCCGCGCGCCCGCTGCCCTCTGCGCGCCCCTCCCCGGGCGCAGGTTCGGCCCGCGCAGCGCCGGTGCCGGGCAGGACTCTTTGCCTTTCTTTGGGTTTTATCTGTGCGTGTCAATGGCGGCAAGCAGCAGTTCTCCGGGCCGAGGATAGTAGCGGGGGGAGGAGGAGGAGGGAGAAGGGATTGCTCCTTCTCCACATAACCACCTCTAGGAGGAGTCGCTCAGCCTCATCCCCCGCCAGCCCAGGCTCCGCGACGGGTCTGGGGCTTTCGGAGGGGCTTGATGAGCTATTGTCCTCCAGGAGCATTAGAGATGAAACCGCGCGGCCTCCGCGCAGCCGGCTGAGGTGCTGGAGGCGCCCGGGGCCTCCTGCTGGGATGAGGCTTTCCCCAGAGTCGGGGACCAAGGCTCCATGGTCACCACCCAGCGTCTCCTGTTGGCCACATCTACCTTTGGTGGGAGGAGGAGACGTGGGTGTTCATCTGGCAGTCCTGGGAGAGCCTCTGAAGGTGAAAGCGAGCAATTCTCTTATGTCCCGAAATAAAAAGATACGTTAGCATTCGTGGCCCCTGGGAAGAGAGCCTGTGGCAGCCACAGCTACAGGGACTGCGAATTTGTAGCCATTCCTGGCCGCTCTTCTATGAATTAAGACGGATTCCGAGTCTGTTGTGTAATTCCTGGAATAGCAGATATATATATATATATATATATATATATATATATATATATATATATATATATATATATATATATATGGCCAAGACTGTGTACATGGGCAAGATTTTTAATTGGGCTGCGTACAGTAGGTTCATTTGTAATGTCCCAATGGGGATAGAGCTCAGCATGAAGCTATTGTCTTGGGGACCAATTTTTATTAGTTTCTGGAAAAACATGTTTGTGTGGGGGTGTGGTTGGTAATATCAGCTGTGACAGTGGGGATTAGGAGCTGCTTGTCCCCAGTGGAAGCCAGCACTGTCTTTTGAGATGTGGGCCAAGGCTCAGGGCTGGAAGGCCAGTTGCAGTAGTTTCTTTATGTTGCCGGGTAATGCTAACTGGTAATGGACCGTCCATGTTTCCTTTCATTTCTCCTTGATAAATTCAAGGATTCTGAGAGGCAATGGTTTGATCTCTTCAGAAAAGAGACCTAGATGAAAGAAACCAGAATTCTCCAGCACTGGCCAAAAGGATGCTTCTCATAGCCGCTACCATCTGAAAATATTGTGTATATTTATTGGCATAACTTTGTAACTAGGTGGCAATGGGGAGTCTGGGGGTGTCTGAAAGCCTGATTACTTGAGTGGGGAGAGCCTTGTGCTGGCATGTATAGGTAGTGCTTTAAATTTAGAACATGTGCATTTCAAACACATGTTTTTTGCTGAGAAGTCAGCTGCCTTCCTCTCTGATTTTCCTCAAAATCTTGCGTATGGGTTATAGATGTAAATAAACCTCTTTTTAAATCTCATATGCCTTCTCCAACACTTCTGGACCCCAGGTGATCGGCATCTCAGGTGATTAGAACGTCACGTATGACCTCACTGGTATTTGTCTTGGGAGGTATTTGCCAGGTCAGAAATACAGGCAGGATAAAGTCTTCTTTGCCTGAGACATGTATTTAAGGGATTTCAGATGATCTCTTGTGGCTCTTTGAATAGTGTCTCTTCTCACTTCCAAGGGAAGTGCCTGTGTTACTTCTTGTTTCTCCAACAGACAAAGTTTAAGCCAACATTTGAGTTCCTCAGCCCTATGGAAGTGCTTGAAAAACATTCCCATTTTGTCCCCCAATCAGGCATGCTGACTGAAATACAGTGGCATATATTAGTGTTAGGTTTACATTTTCCCTATGATTTTCCAATTAAAATGGTATATGTGCTCCTTTTTGTGTGGCTTTTTTGAAACTGATTTCATCCTAGCATTTGGTGTTGCGCTATCCCCAAGGAAGGATGTGTCTAAGAATCTGTTAGCCAGGATTTCCCCACTTTGTACCACGTGGTTTCTTCAAATGCAGATGTTCCACACACTTCCAATGGGGTCAGTTGAAAATAATGTAGGACTAATAGGCAGATGTTGCAGCCCCGGAACATCTCGCTTGGCAGTGCAGTCCACTGCTGAGGATTGATTTTTTCCTTTCGTGGTCACCTGGCTGCCTGGGAGTGGTGGCTCACTGTCACTGCCTAGAGTCTCAAGAGAGGATCGGACACTACATTGGTAATCTGGGAAAAGGTCAACCCCCACATTCCAAGGACAGTTTCTACTGAATACTTATTGCTTTTGCACCATTTTAAGCTTGATAAATTGGTAAGTCAGAGATCAGCTGTAGATGATGCAGTCACAACCCAGAGGATCTGCGGGGCGATGGGCCTTGTACCGCTCTGCTCTTAGAACAGAAGGGACCAGACCACCTGGCCCAAGTCCTTCCTGTTGACAGGACAAAATCTAGTACTCAGGTGGATGCTGGTCACTCGGATCATCGGCGGTGGAGTTTCCAGCGTATTTCCTGACTCAACCAACATAGCTTTTGGCACAGCTACTTAATATGCAGGTCAAGTCAGATGAGCTGTGCTTAATACTAAACATTTGGCACATAAAAATCTAAACACTAGGGTAATATTTTATAATTTAGATATATTAAAAGTATTCACCATGATTATAAGGGCGCCACTGGTCTCGAGCGCTGCAGTGGCTCTAGCTAGGGAGCCGGTGACAAGCGGGTAAGAAGTGATGACGCTAAGAGCTCATGTTTGCTAAATGCTTGCTCTGTGGACTGCACCGAACACTTCACCCTTCCAAATTCATTTAATCCTCATAATAGTTCTTTGGTGTAAACACTATTTCTCCTTTTTTTTTTTTTTAAGTTAGAGAAATTGAGGCAGAGCAGGAGAGAATCTTGCCCACAGTTGGAGACTTAGGAAGCAGCAAGTTCGTGCTCTTGTTCACCACATAATCTGGTGATAGGGAAGTGCATTTGCTTTAAACAAAGTAATTTTGCACTTGGTCATAAGATAGCCTCTTGGACCCCTCCCAGTACCTACACTTAAGGAGTCACCAGACAGCCTAATTACAGGAGGCTTGGTTCATTACAACTATACTGAAGCACGTTTTCTTAACCCTTGATCTGTACATGTGGATAACATGATAAATACATGTATTGATTTTGAGTCGGCTCCATTAGCAACAGGGATGTCTAGTGTGATTTTATTGAGATGCAGGATGAATTGCTTCTCCATTCACAGAAAGGAATATAACACAGCATAAATAAGAAAAAAAAAAGTGGATCAAATGAGTAACCATACAACCAACTGGGTCTGCTAGCAACTGATTCACAAAATCACCCATTTAAAAATAGCTTCATTGATTTTTTTTCTCCCCTCTGACCTTTTCTTCTGATGATCTCATGTATGATGTTGTCAATTCAGTGGGCTTTTATTTTTCCTGATTGGTTCTAACCCAGTACATAATACATACCATACCTTGTGATCATTTAGCCTTCTAGGATCTTGGTAACACCTTAATTTCCTAGTTAATTTCCTAGTTCTGCCTCTTCCAGAAGGTCTATTTGCATATAGTTATATATTTATATTTGGTATTTGAAAGTGTAAATGTGCAAGGTTTGTTTATGCAGATTAATTTTGCTTGAGAGTTTCTGATTTCCTCTGAAGTAACCTGAGATTCCCTGGGAGTGTCATAAAAACAAATGGACATCATTGATTTAAGCTCTTCTTTGGATGTAATTTAGGCAACTTGGGATATTTTATTCATTCCGTCAAGGAACCGCCTGTCATAACTCTTAACTAGCAACTTGGGGCTGTAAAGTTATGAATGCAAACAAAAAGCTAAACAATATCTCATCATTTTAAAGAGTAAGTACAGCTTTTGAGAGTACCTTGTCACTGAAAAAGTATTAGGCAATTGATCTGATTGAAAACATTTGTAAAGCTAGAAACATGCTGTCTTTCACATCACTGTATTTTTAATAATGAACATGATAAGTGTTAAGCCTTTATTTCTTTGACCAGAATTGATGACTTCAAAAATCATAGTTTTTTATGGAGGAGAATATGTCTTTCAAGAAAGGCCATAAGGGCAATGTCAGCAAAGCCCAACAACAAAAAATAAGTGTTCAAAGGCACAAACAGAGTAAGTGGTTTACTAGTCCTAGTTCTGAAAAACACTAACAAATCTGTCCTTTTGGATACCAAGTTCTGAATTTTGCTCCTGGGAAGAAAATTTGCACACATGGGTATGTGTGTATATAGATGCATACTTGTGCATACATTCTTCTGTGCTTGCATACGCAAGCATGCGGTGCGTGTGTTACTTTGCAGCGACTGATAGTGTGATAGGCTCGGAGTTAAGGCTGCTCTAGACGTAAAAGGAATCTTCCATGTGTTTAGCATTTAACTGATGAAGCGTATTGTGTAGGAAAACAAGACATTTCAGGTCTTCAAGATAAATACACTGTCAGCTCCAATTCTGCAACGTTTTGGTTGGGGAAATAAGGCACAAAGTGTCATTACGTTTAATGGAAACAGATCCCAGGGCCAAGGCAAGCGTGCCAGTTGGTGTCTTGCTCTGCTCAGTGATGCCGCGTGAGAGATCATCGTGTTACCTCCAGGCAGAGCTCTTTGTGACAGTTTCGATGGGACGTGGCAGTCACCATTCCGAGAATGTGGACTATGGTGTCGGTGCTGGCCACATGACCTCCCACCTGAACAAAATTGCTTTTTCCATTTTGGGCTTATTCTAAAGAATAGGTAAATTGATTTTCCAAATCCACGAATGTGGAATACTATAGTGAAACTATAATTTATTTATACAAATGGTGTGTTTTTACAAAGGCCATCTGTCAGTTGACTCTCTGATCTAAAACAAATCTGTTTGTTCCCCCAGGAGAAATAACATGTCTGTTGAAAAAGGATTTATGGATGATAGGCTGCCCAATTCACCAGTCATTGGTATTACAGTAACTATTTATGATATATTTATTTCTAAGGGAGTGCTGTGAGTGGAAACTATTACTTGTAAAGTATGATAATTAATTTTTTATTACCTCAAAGCCAAGAAATGGAGCCCAGTTGCATCTATTAGGATATTGTGGGCTGAGGGTATAGCTCAGCGGCACAGCATCTGCCTGGCAAGTGCAAGGTCCTGAGTTCGATTCCCAGTGCCAAAAAAAAATAGAAGAAAGAAAATAAAATATATTGTTGCATAAGAAACATGCTCTCTTCTGGGAAAATAAATCTGAATAAAAGCTGTTATTGAGCTATGGCCACATAACAGCTTACTGCCTGCCTGAGTGGGGTTGATCACAAGCCTTTGAGCATATTCCAGGACAGGAGAGCGAGCTGTTCTTGGATCCCTGACTATTTGATCTTCAGATGCTACT